AATTGCCTGAACCCAGGAGGCGGAGGTTGCGGTGAGCCGAGGTCGCGCCATTGCACTCCAGCCTGGGTAACAAGAGTGAAACTCCGTCTCAAAAAAAGAAAAAAAAAAGGAAAGAACCTGGATCTCCACTGACCTTGTTAAGCAACTTGATGTCTTCCTGGGTGAATTAAGAGCAACTTGATTGTGACAGTCATGAAAATGGTGTGCACAGGAATGAACTTGTGGTCTCAGAACAGAATATAAAATCCACCCTGTGACCTCCACAGCCCTGCTTGATTGGGTCCTGCCCAACTTTTCAGTGTCATCACTGACTTCTTTCCTTCTGCCCTGGCTTTTCTTCGTGTTCTTGAACATGCTCTTCCCAACCTCAGGGACCCAGACCTGCTACAACCTTCTCCCCATTGCTTTTGACCAGGCTGCTCCTCCTCACCCTTCAGATCTCAGCTGAAAGGTCCCTTCCACAGGGTGACTCCACCCAGCATAGGTCCCTCAGCTACCCTGCCTCACGGCCTCTGCTGGACCACGTGGCGGTTCACTTCACAGTTCTTCATTACAGAGTTGTTTGTTTCCTTGTTCATTGTTAATCTTCCCCAGAGGGTTGTGTGCACCACCTGGCAAGGTGTTCTGTCTCCTCCTGTATCATTGGCATCCAACATCGTCTCTGACACAGAGATAACCTCAACACATACATGTTGGAAAAATAAATGAATGAATGAATGGTAACATGTTGTTTACTCATTCACCCATTCAATATACAGGCCTTCTGCTGGGTGCTGGAGGAGGACTGAGGCATGGGTCATTAACCCAGTTCATACACTCATATTGCTTAAAAGCCAGTGCTATTTTTTAATGAAAACAGAGCCTCAGAAAACAGCTCTTGAACTGACAGACATCTGCAGTCTTCCTGGTCAGGGGACAGACCTCAGGGTATTGATGGCAGCAAAGGTCCCAGTTGAGAGATCTGGAGATTACCTTTTGCAACCCTATCCTTTATCTCTTTGGACATTTTTTCTCCCAATTTAAAATAGATATTTTATTACTTTCTTTTTATTTTATTATTATTTATTTATTTTGAGACAAGGTGTCTCTCTGTCACCCAGGCTGAAGTGCAGTGGCATGATCTTGGCTGACTACAACCTCTGCCTCCTGGGTTCAAGTGATTCTCATGCCTCAGCCTTCCAAGTAGCTGGGACTACAGGCGCATGCCACTATGCCTGGCTAATTTTTGTATTTTTAGTAGAGATGGGGTTTCACTGCGTTGGCCAAGCTGGTCTCAAACTCCTGACCTCAAGTGATCCTCCCATGTCGGCCTCCCAAAGTGCTGGGATTATAGGTGTGAGCAACCACACCCAACCTTATTACTCTATTTTTAGACCTGATTATTTTAACAAACTGCATGTCGAACTTAATTTTCCCATTCTTTTTAAATTAAGAAATAATATATATGTAATAACCATTTAAATATACAATTTTGGCTGGGCGCAGTATATGTATGTATATAGTGTATACATATCTACAAATTTATGTATACACACACACACACACACATACACAATTTCCTGTCTTTTAGTATATTCACCAAGTTGTGTAATCATTACCACTCTCTTTTTTTGAGATGGAGTTTTACTCTTGTTGTCCAGGCTGGAGTGCAATGGCACGATCTCGGCTCACCGCAACCTTTGCCTCCCGTGTTCAAGCGATTCTCCTGCCTCAGCCTCCCAAGTAGCTGGGATTACAGGCATGCATCACCACACCCAGCTAATTTTTGTATTTTTAGTAAAGACGGGGTTTCACCACGTTGGCCAGGCTGGTCTCAAACTCCTTACCTTGTGATCCACCCACCTCGGCCTTCCAAAGTTCAGGGATCACAGGTGTGAGCCACCATGTCTGGCCAATCATCACCACATTTTTTTCCCACATACCCGCTGTGTCAAAACCATTATCTAATTCCAGAACACTTTCATCATCCCAGGAATAAACCCCATATCCACTAGCAGTCATTCCCATTTCTCCCTCCCTCCAGCCCCTGTCTTGGGCCCTGTCTCTATCTATTCTGGACACATCATATAAGTGGAATTACACAATATATAACCTTTTGCCTGTCTTCTTTCACTTAACATATGGTTTTTAAGGCTCATCCATGTAGCAGTATGCATCAGTACTTCATTCCTTTTTCGTTTCTTGTTTTGTTATTATTTTGAAACAGGGCCTCACCTTGTCACCCAGGCTGGAGTGCAGTTGCGCAATCATGACTTACTGCCACCTCAACTTCCTGGGTTCAAGTGACTCTCCTGCTTCAGCCTCCTGAGTAGCTGGGACTTCGTTCATTTTATGACTATGACAGTAGAATAATATTCCACTTTGTAGGAGTACCACATTTATTTATTTATTCATTAGTTGATAGGCATTTAGGTTATTTCCACCTTTGGGCTGTTATACATAATGCTGCCGTGAACATTCGTGCATGAGTTTGAATGGACATATGTTTTCACTGTTTGTGGGTGTATACATAGGAGTGGAGTGGCTGGGTGATACGGTAACTCTATGTTTTTTTTTTTTTTTTTTTTTTTTTT